TTGCACCCTCTAACTAACCTGCATGTGTATGTGTATTAGCGCCCTCTAACTAACCTGCATGTGTAGGTGTATGTGTACTAGCGCCCTCTAACTAACCTGCATGTGTATGTGTACTAGCGCCCTCTAACTAACCTGCATGTGTATGTGTACTAGCGCCCTCTAGCTAACCTGCATGTGTATGTGTACTAGCGCCCTCTAACCTGCATGTGTATGTGTACTAGCGCCCTCTAGCTAACCTGCATGTGTATGTGTACTAGCGCCCTCTAACTAACCTGCATGTGTATGTGTACTAGCGCCCTCTAACTAACCTGCATGTGTATGAGTACTAGCGCCCTCTAGCTAACTTGCATGTGTATGTGTATTAGCGCCCTCTAACTAACCTGCATGTGTAGGTGTATGTGTACTAGCACCCTCTAACTAACCTGCATGTGTATGTGTACTAGCGCCCTCTAACTAACCTGCATGTGTATGTGTACTAGCGCCCTCTAGCTAACCTGCATGTGTAGGTGTACTAGCGCCCTCTAGCTAACCTGCATGTGTATGTGTACTAGCGCCCTCTAACCTGCATGTGTATGTGTACTAGCGCCCTCTAACTAACCTGCATGTGTATGTGTACTAGCGCCCTCTAACTAACCTGCATGTGTATGTGTACTAGCGCCCTCTAACTAACCTGCATGTGTATGTGTACTAGCGCCCTCTAACTAACCTGCATGTGTATGTGTACTAGCGCCCTCTAACTAACCTGCATGTGTATGTGTACTAGCGCCCTCTAACTAACCTGCATGTGTATGTGTACTAGCGCCCTCTAACTAACCTGCATGTGTATGTGTACTAGCGCCCTCTAACTAACCTGCATGTGTATGTGTACTAGCGCCCTCTAGCTAACCTGCATGTGTATGAGTACTAGCGCCCTCTAGCTAACTTGCATGTGTATGTGTACTAGCGCCCTCTAGCTAACCTGCATGTGTATGAGTACTAGCGCCCTCTAACTAACCTGCATGTGTATGTGCATTAGCGCCCTCTAACTAACCTGCATGTGTAGGTGTACTAGCGCCCTCTAACTAACCTACATATGTAGGTGTATGTGTACTAGCGCCCTCTAACTAACCTGTATGTGTACGTGTACTAGCACCCTCTAACTAACCTGCATGTGTATGTATACTAGCGCCCTCTAACTAACCTACATATGTAGGTGTATGTGTACTAGCGCCCTCTAACTAACCTGCATGTGTATGTGTACTAGCGCCCTCTAACTAACCTACATATGTAGGTGTACTAGCGCCCTCTAACTAACCTACATATGTAGGTGTACTAGCGCCCTCTAACTAACCTGCATGTGTATGTGTACTAGCGCCCTCTAACCTGCATGTGTATGTGTACGTGTACGTGTACTAGCGTCCTCTAACTAACCTAGGTGTACTAGCACCGTTCTACTTAATCAACATGTACATACAATGTATATTCTAATGTTTCTATTCGGTTTCAGGTCATTGTTACCATAGTGAAGCACCAGGCTACATGCAGCTGAGAAGACGATGTGCTTCAGAGAAAGTAGAGGCAGTGACAGCACTGGATATCCTGTATAAGGACTTCCATAATAATGTATATTTGAGCATGCAGTCGAGTGATGGGGAGCGTTCTTGTAGGCAGACATATCGATGTCCAAATGGGGAAGACATGTGTCAGACTCGGTAACGTACTAGCTAGCTTGTCAAATTATGTCTCTGAAAGCCAATTCCTTTGTAGTCTAGTGATTAACAGATATTCTGTAGAAATTGCAAAGTTCCTTATACAGAAAATATATGTTTGAATAAGACATCATTGTTCTCCCCAGATATCTTTGGTGGCTTATTAGTATGCTAAAACTGCAGTATTTTCATCAATGTGAGAAATTATTAGAATGAAAAATAGCTCTTCTATAAGAAGCTAGTCATCGGTGGATTTCGAATAATTTTGCTACACAGTGTGCATGTGTTGAAAAAAAAATTAAAAAAAAAGTTTTTTAGCTCACATGGGTGAAATTTTGCAAGAGTGAATTGCTCTTGAGTAATTGATTTCCTTAAAAGTAAAGGTCTGCATGACATTTGAATGTGATTTTGTGAACTACCATGTTAAATATTCCTGGACAACTTTATCCCAAACTTGTTGCACCATGTCATGTTAGATATAGAATTCAAAACAATGGGTAAAATGCATAGTTTTTTGTCATAAATCATAGCAAATTAACATTGGTTGCCTGGAGCTGTCTTTAACAAAAGTGGTATTGAATTTCCTGTAAATTAAGTTGAAAAAACTTTTAAATTGTTATTTTACAAATAATATTTCTTTATATTTCTTCAGATGTTACTTGTTTGATAACTTTGCTAACTTGGTGACTGATCCTGAATTCATACATGCGAGTGACTTGGATGAGAGACAGTATAAGAGAGTGTCACTGGGCAAGAAAGAAGGAGAAGTGATGCATGAACTCATCTATAAACATGGTTTCTTTGAACGTAAAGAACAGATTGATTTCCAAGGTTCATGTAGCGTGTCACCATATTCACCAAAAGTAAGTAAATACTGTGACAATAAAATAGTAGAATTGCCTGAGATTTTATGGGATTGGGCAAAATATAAGATGTTTTATTTAGAACGAATACAATACATAGTTGGTAAAGACCAATTAAGACACAAAATGAAATTTAACAATTATAACCTTGAAATAAATCTTTGTGCTGTACTGCAAAAAATATTGCTAAAAAGATCTTCCATAGGAATATGTTGGTAATCTGGTACACATATAAAACTGGTAGAATGTATTTGTACACTCTTTTATTAGTCGTTGTTTGAACACAGCCCGATAATGGGGACTTATGGATTGATCTTTGTGCATGTATGCACCCATTCATGACCACCTCTAACTTAGACATGCCTTGGCCATTCACATTCAAACTTCATACACTCAACATACACCTTGGTATACATATGCATGTTCAATCGATTTATGTTCCGATTAAATATTGGTGAATGATGGCTATTTTAATATTAGCAAAATCAAGCATTTCTGCCATTTCATAGCCCGGTCATGTATGGATGGTTGTTCAAACTTGGTTCATAGATTGGACATAATTATCTGTATTTATTTGTGAGTTCTATATGCATGTTAGACAATATTGTAACCGGTGGCATCACTGAATTATATTTTCCCAGTGAAGTCTCGAACAA